TACCTCCTTGGCTATGAACCCGTGCCTCCCCGTCCCCTAGGGATGCCCTTTGCACAGCAGCTTCTAGGTCTGCTGGAGTTGCCCTTGCCCTGGGAGCAGGGCAGGTGACAGCATTACCTGCACCACTGGGGATGGTGCTGCTGGGGCAGCCTGCTCTGCGGCTGGGAGGGAAAAGCACTAGGATTTGGGGATTTCCAACAGGAAGGGGAGAAATTCCACAAAGTTTTGGAATCTCCCACAACTAATGAGAAGAGCAGGTGCTTTGCAATTTACTATTAAGAACTGCAGAATTAAGGGAGAACCTTGCTCTGTTCTAGAGCTATTCGAAGAAAAAGATAAAAACAATTAACTCCAGGCCTCTTACCTTTACCTGGGATGCTGTGCAGTTGTTTGAATTATTAGCATTTGTGTTTCAGATCAATATGACACATTACATCAAGCATCTCTCATTTGGAAGAGATTATCCAGGCATTGTGAACCCTCTGGATGGGACAGATGTCACTGCACAGCAAGGTAAAAGCCAGCTGACAGATGTCTCCTCTTAAGTATTTGTAATTAGTGTTATGAGAGAACAGAAGCAAAGTTCCCAATCTGTAGTGAGAACCCTGGCAGCATTGCATAAAACTTTTCCACTGTGTGCTATTTCAGAAACAGATACCTTCTTCTGGGACAAATCTGTCCATGTTTGTCTCCTTTTATTTTTCATGAAAGATACTGACCATGGCACTTCATATGCCACTGCAGAGATCAGTAATTTTTTTAGATGCACTACAGTCTGCAAGTCTTTGCATTTGTGTTATTGTTATTGTTATATAGCAAAGCTTGGTGAAAGAGGTAATTTGCATTGAAATGGTGTTAAAATTCTTATCTTACATGAATGTGGAGTTGTGGTAGGACTGAACATACAGTTTGAAAAAAAAAAAAGGTAAAAGAAAAAGATTGTAGGTCAAATTAATGTTCATTGTTAGATTTGAGAGTTATTCCTTCAGTAGAAATTGAGGAATAATGTTCTTTTATGGGAATTTCATAAAGTTTCTCAAAGTGACTGCTACCTTCCATTATTATTAAGAGAACTAAAGGAACAGGCTGTTCTCAGCTGAAGGAGTTAATGTTTTTTTTCTCCATTGGTCCAAGGCTTTTTCTTCATCTCCTCATATGATGAACACCATGTTTCTACACAAATAAGCATGTTGTTAATTAAGCCGATATAGGATACCTATTTAGAATGGAGAATCTTTTCTTACAGTCATGCTGTTAAATAGAAAAGTGTCCCTATGTTAGCCTAAGATTTTTCTGGAAAAGTTGAACTGGTAAAACTACCTGGTTCAAAGAAATTCTTCCATTTAATCAAAGTAAAAGAGGTGCTTCATTTCATTTCTGTTTGGGTAAGGAACAGGATCCACTTCGGAAACAGGAAAACTGGTGTCACATTAATTTCATTTTCACTGAACACCTCCAGTAGCTATTGTACAAAGAGATACTTCTTGAGAAATTTCATGTAAAAAAAAGAATCTGTGCCTGCCTGTCCTGTCAATTAAACTTTTATAGCTCTTTACCATTTAATTCAGTTGATTTTTCATTGTGTGTCTCTGACTTTGCTTATAGCTTCCATGATGTTCCAGTATTTTGTCAAAGTGGTCCCCACAGTGTATATGAAAGTAGATGGTGAAGTAAGTACCTTTTCCAATTGATCTGGGGTTTTTATGGATGTCAAATATCTACATGTTATTCTTGTATCCTGTATTTGTGCACATACATTCACTTACACAGGAGGTCAAGTTATTTCTTATATAATAATATCTATTGTGGTTATACATGTGTCTCTTGTTGCTGGTGCCATAGCTGTAAGAGCGAAGTAGCCTCAGTATTACTTGGTTCTTTCTTATAGCCTGCAGCATAATTCTGTGCAAAGAAAGTATTTCTCCTTAATTCTTTGCAGTTTTGTACATTTTAAAATTTGTGTATTCTAAACAAATCTGTGTGTCTGGTGGCTTCAAGTCTCTCCTGTTCAGTAGGGATAATCAACGTTTCATTGTTCTGAATAGCATTCTTTAGATTTTATTTTTAATTTGTCGTAGTAGTTAATCCACTGCCTCACTTTCTAGAACAAATACAAAATCTTCAAAGACTTTGTGCTCATGTTCTGATTCCTACCACATTCTTTATTGGAGCTGGTGGAAGCAACACAAATCATTTGACATTCTTCATGTAAACAACCCTAACAAGAATAACAATTTCTGTGGAGTTCATCTGAAATATATTTCAGCCTCTATACCACCTAGTTTAAAGTTACCACAGCAATTTCCTCATGTTCGGGATGCATAGTGCATGCTCAGGGGAAGTCAAAGGAGATCCTGAAAGTGTTCTCTGAGGAAAAACCCAAGATCAGCCATTTAAGAACTTCTGGAATCTAAACCATTTGCTGTATGTCTATCCTATCTCCTAAACAACTCTAAATGTACAACAGATTTTCAGACAATGACATGGACTTGGTGTATGAGGGGAAAAAATAATTTTAAAGTACCATGGACAAAAGCTGAATGATCAAAATAGAAGGACTCCGACTGAAGCAAATTGGTGTCAAATGTAAAGACTCAGACCTCCACCAGGGACAAATGCAATAGTAGCCTAGGCATCAAAAATACAACTGTCAGAAAGAGAATAAAATTTTTACTGTGGGCAAAGCTGGTGGGTCGAGAGCAGAACCAGCAAGGCCAGCCCTGCAGGAAGGTGCACTGCAGGCCTCTGTGGCGGGCGAGCTGCGAGCAGGCCTCCAGCTGGGGCTGGGAGTGGAGGTCAAGAACAGCTTGTGCTGTTACCAGCCAGCAAAGACCAAAGCAGTCAAGCCTGGCAAGTGGACTAGATGTAGCCCGGTAGTAAAAGCAGATTTGTGTTAGTGGAGCTCTTTACAGCCATTAAAAACTGTGTTTAAGCTCAGCTCTCACACAAGTGGTTGGACAGGTCTGCTTGAGGTGGTCCACTGAGCTCTTGTTTCAGAAGCCTTTCCTCTTCCTTGCTAACAAAATATGCTCATGTTTGTTTCCTACCAGGTGGTAAGGACAAACCAGTTTTCAGTTACACGGCATGAGAAAATAGCCAATGGGCTAATAGGAGACCAAGGTCTGCCTGGTGTGTTTGTGCTGTATGAGCTTTCTCCCATGATGGTGAAGCTGACAGAGAAACACAGGTATGAGACCTTTTTATTTTTATTTCACATTCACCCTATACTGATTTTGGCTTTTTGTGTAGCTTAAAACACAAGCCTCATTTAGATGCCGCAGCGCAGACTCCCTAAGGTGATCCAACCCCGCCTCATAGGCAGCAGAGATGAAGGGGCACTCCCAAATGCAGTTCCTCTCAGTGCAAAGACCTAAAGTGGATTTGAGGGTTTCTGCTATTACCTGGAGCATCTGAATTCAGTATCAAGATGGAGAAGTAAATTGGTTTGGTGAGCTGAAGTCTAACAAAATGGTTCATGGTTCACACTAATTTCCCCCATAAGAACCATCTCCTTTTGCTACTCTACTGCTACACTTTGTAGCAGGCTTCTCCTGTGGCAGCCTGAGGACTGGCTGTTGACGAAAACAAGAATGGAAGGTCTCTCTTGATGAAGAGAAAAAGATGTCCCAACTCTTTTCTTTCTCTTTCCAAAAAACCTTGCAAGCCTAAGACACAAGTCTGAACTTTGAAGAAAGTTATCCAGGTATCTCTTTATCCAGGATTAAACAATTTGGGAAGTCCCTTAATGGGAAGACCTGGTGTCTCCTGGTTTTATGTAGCATAACCATTTGATTAAACTGCAGTTTCTTGTATTTATCACTGTCCAGAGAACATCTTACTAGCACCCATGGTGGCACTCACCCTGACCCAATGCATTTTTCTGCATTTCCTGTAATGTTTCTGTGTGTTGTAGTCAGGGTGAAACCTGTTTCTTCTTTTGGTGTCCTTAGTTAATCAGAGGCTTGTGGTTGCAGGGAAACAGAGCGGCTTGTAGCTGTCAAATCTTTTGTGATCATAATGAGGCAGTGTTAAATTTGACACCTTAAAATGTATTAGCATTAATAAATGCTTGGACATTTTGTTTCTGTGTTATACCTGCCTTCAGTTGTGAATTCTGTCTGAGCGGGAGTGGCTGAAATCTTAGAAATGAAGAGCCCATCCTTCAGCTCTGTCCTCCCAAGGCTGCAGTTCAGCTTTTTGGAGTGCACTGCATATAGTGCCATTCTTCAGTAAAAAAAATGGATGGGAAAAATAGGGACTACTTCCTGTTGCTGATAGGGGTTATTTAATTGTTAAAATTGTTGATAGCTGTTAATATTTATGCAGTATATACTCATTTAGTACTTTTATATTATTATTACTACTCATGTAGTAATACTTTTATACTTATGAATTAGTTTGTATTAGTTGATTCTTATTTAGCTGTCTATTTAGCTGTCTTTTGATATCTGAGCTCATGGTGATTGTTTAAATTGTTTTCCTCGTTCTAGGCCCTTTACACATTTTCTTACGGGAGTCTGTGCTATTGTTGGAGGCATATTTACAGGTATTGCACCTTTAAATCTTTTTTTCTCTAAAGAGCAAACGTTTTCCATCTTACTGTTCCTTAAGTTTGCATGCCTGGGGATGAGCCCACGTTTCCTGGGGTATGATGATTTCCACCTTCAGGAGGCAGTACAGCATGTCCTGCAGAGCTATGGGAGAAAAGACACAGCAAAAATAGACCTTCACAGTATTTCCTCTCTCTCTACAAGACATTTTGTTTTCAAATAATGCAGTCTTTTGCATACATATGAATGCAGTTGTACTGCTCTCTTGGTCAGCCAGGGTCTGCGAGCAGATAGGTGCTTTTCAGGTGGGACCCAAGCTGATACAATCCTTGAACCCAAGCTGCCATGGTCAGATCCAGTCAGGAGAAATCCGCGTGAGATCTAGTTAGCAGACCTTGTTGCACCCAAGAAGCTCGTAATTTCAAAAATTATTTGTATGACAAAGGCAAGTGTCGTCAAGCAGTGACATCCAGTTCAGTGTTTGCTGACAAATGTCATGTTTAGATTTTCTGTGTTTTAGGGAACAGATCAAATAAGCTGTGTAATAATTTTTGAATTAAACATTAAACTCATCCCATAAGTAGAAATATTTTCAAGGGAAAATGACCACAAATGACAGCCATCTGCAAAGTTAACTGAAAAAATAAATAACAAGACCAACAAATACATGTTCTTCAGTAAGAGGAAGAAGAATCAATCTTAGCTGCTACTCTTTGCGTTTAAGTAGTATCACAGTGTCTGGGGTTTTTTGTGTAGGGTCAAGAAACCGCTTACTTGTTCCCTAGGTTAGTAATGCCAAATAAAAGAGAAAAGAAATGGAAGCTTTCTAAAGACATTAAAATTGTCTTTCTGGCACCCTCTTTTACCTCAGGAGGGTAAAGAGGGAGCTAAGCAAGAACTTGTCCTGTGAAAGCTATCTTAATGGAAGCAGGGTTGTCTGGAGTAGCAGAAGTCTGATTTTTCTTGGTCGCAAGCAAGTAGTGAATTAACAGACTCTTCCAGAGCCTTGGCTGGAGAGATCTAGGGAAAATACTGCATAAAGAACTAAGGGCATCACTTTATTTTCTGTTTTGTGTCCTTGCTTGGCACACATTGCAGTCTGCCCTAAAGGGAATCCATAAAGGGAAGTATGTCCTTTATTGCGTAGACTGGTTTACTTTTAAAAGTAACTGAAACTGAATTCTTTCTTTAAAATATCCTGAAGTTGATATGAAATGCAAAGTATTGCCTTGGCCAGCTACGTCAAAGCATGAAACAAACTGACCTTTCTGGATTGAACTGCCTCTCCAAATTCTTCTCACTCATCAGTAAGCACATGCAGCTTGGCTTATCTTATCTTTGCTACTGTCAGAGAAATCTCCCTCTGGAGAAGCATGGCCATATCTGCCCCTGCAAGCTGGATTTTGTCTCTGCTAAT